AAAAAAAAAACTTAGCGCAAAATTGTCGTTTTTTTATAATTCGCGTCTTCTACTTGTTCTTCCCCCTTACTGCCTCTTTTTTTTGTAGAATTTTGGAACTAAACAGATTTAATTGTGATCTTCAATTTGTGCACAGAAAATGATTACGAGAGCAAGTTTAAGCCTTTGAAAAGCTACTTTTACAGAAGCTTTGGTTTTTTTTCTTATTCAGTTTTTTTCTTCGCTATTCAAGTTAGTGTTCTCCGGTATTTTTTCCGCAGTTACTCTAGTTAAGATCTTGAGCAGCACAGAATAGATAATGACTGATGCGAACGAACTGTCATTAAGAGCACATTATTTGATGTTTTTCCAGTAACTATTTTCTTTTTTGAGCATAGAACATATCTTCGAAAAATTTCGCTTTTTTTTTACTTAAAAAAAGTGTTTTACTAGAGCTTTTTAACGCCTGAAATCAAAAATTGATAATCTAATGCTGACAGGTTTTAAAGTTATGAGACAGAAGGTAAATTTATCTCAAAAATTTTGACTGATTTCAGCGTATTTTAAGCACTTTTTGGCACAAATTTTATAATCTTTAAATTTTTGCATGTACGAGATGCTTTGTTGTAAATCTCCACCTCAGTTGTGATTGCTTTCTTAAACATATTTTTCTTTTTTTGTTAGCTAACTGTAATAAATTTTTTTTTGCAAGACCTATATTTGTGTGATTATTAGATTATCGTTTGTTATAGCTTCAGTTTTCAGTTTAACAGTTTGAAAAGCAGATATTTTATAAAAATGCAAGATTTATAACCTATATGAAATAAAATATAAGCGAAAGTATTTTCATAAGAAGAACACTGCAGCGTTTTTGACAAACTATTTCTGAACAGCACATAAAAACAGCAGTTATTATTAACCGCCGTCAAAACAAATCCACATTTTACTGTTTGCTAAAAATATTTTTAGCTATCAAGTATAACCTGACAGTATCTTTTGTAACTGATTTTTCTTTTCATTTTATTTTGAGCAAGCAAGATCAAATAAGTCGCTCATTTTCGCAAATTTTTGTTTTTCAGCAATTCATTAATAAATAGTTGCATTACAAGAAGAAGACACAACAGCTTATTTTAGCATAAATACAGCAAGGAGAATAACTCAAAGAAACTGCAATTAAGATTTGCTTAAATATATATTTAGCAAAACCATTGTTTTTTTTTTCTCTTTTACATTTCTAGGTATAAAAATTGTTTTGTTTACAAGTGCTGTTATCTGCATACAAATGAAGATTCTTAAATGTGGAAAGTAAGTTATTTGTTTTTTCTCAGAAATATTAACAAAAGCTAAGTAGTGAAGAACGGTAAAAGAAATGAATAAGAGTCATTGCCTTTTATATAAAATTGTAGCAAAACCAGACTTATCTTCAACTACAACGAAGGCGACTGATGTTAGGAATGCGCTATGAAAACGAAATATATAATATCAGTTATGTTCCAAAAAACAGCCTCATTGTTTTAACTAATGACACGCCCGGAAATTTATACAGCCCTAAAAGGAAAGTGTAGTTTTTTGCTAGACGATTAAACTTAATGGTTATTACGGCTTATTACAGAAATTAGATGACCACAAACAAATTTCTGTTTTTTGATCAAAACTTTTTGGAGACTCAGCTCAGTGGCAACAATTTCAGTTCTTGAAAAATGGTTCTATGTAAATTTTCTGTGTAAATTTTAAAAGAGCAGGAAAAAAAAGAATAATGACAATTTCAAAGTGTTTTATGTTTAAACAGTCCTCTAATGTGTGCTCTTTTAAAAACAATTTTCAATTGTTTGGTTTCTGGAAGTTTTCAACACTATAATTTTCAATGAAAAATATGGAAAAATGTAAAAAACTAGAAAATTCTGTGCGACAGTTTATGAAGATTTGTCAGAAAAAGTTACTTGCTCAACATAGATGTACCTTTTCTTGCCGTCTCTACTTTTGTAGATTTTTCTGCGATTTTTGTTTCAACAACTTATTTTACTCTTGGTAATAATTTAATGTTTACATCATTTTTTCAAAGTATGCTTTCTAAAACTTTTTTATCGACTAACATTACTCAAAATAGCCATCAATTTCAATAGTTGCGCAATATAGAAAAAAAAGGGAAATTATTTATCAAAATCGACAACAGTTCAAAGCAAAAAAATATAAAACTGCTTTTGTCGGAAAAAAATACGACAGATTTCACCTTATTTTTCACTTAATCCATCAAATTTCTATTGTTTGAAAAAAAATAGTTGTGTAAAAATTTCGAATTTCTTTATTAAAAATTTTTTAAAACTGCTGAAAATCTGATTATTTAAACTTTACCCTGCTTTGGTATGTAAATAACATTGCGACGAAAAATAATGATGAACACCAAAAAGATAGTCAGAAGAATCTTCTAGAAAACTGTTCATTAACAAAACGTTGTTTATTCTCTTAATTATGGTTTATCTGCCGCCACTGTTGCTTTCTGCTCTACTGCTTAGTCTTTCATCTAATTTTCAGCAGCTGAAATAAACTGTTTCTTGTAAGTTCTTGAACTGGCTTTATAGTACCAGCATTGTATGATATGAAAGCACTAAAAAAGATGATTCACTAAAAGGCAGTGTTCTAAACTGTTTTCTGAAAACAATAAAATAATTTAGAGCGTAATATGACAGCGTTTTACGTGTAAATATTTTCAAACATTTCGTTTGCTTGAACAAAACTGTAATCTAAAAATTCTGAAAAGAAAATATGTTCAAAAGCTTTGATTAAAGCAAAAAAATAGGTAAGTCGTAGAGCCACATTTGAATAAGTTCAAAACCAATACTCGGCTGATATTCATTCAACTCAAAACGTGCTGTTTTTCCTCTAATCACTGATGTTCAATTCTTGATCTTACAAATCTTCATACCAACTATGATGGATGTCTTTTACCGCTGCAGTATACAATAATTCTCCGTATAAAAGTTTAGTGGTAGAAAAATAAAACTGATCGCAAAAGCATAACAGTCAACATGACTACAAATCTACCAACTTTCTTCAACTTTGTTTAGTCAGCAAGATAGGAAGAAACTTTGAAGCCTCAAAAAAAACCAGCAAAAACACAAGAGATGGTAGTTAAAATTCAAAAAGAATTTGCATTATAACTTTCAATTTTTCTCAATGTGCCTGAACCATAAAACCAAAGCTTATTATCTCACTTTACC